AAGGTGTTTATATAGGTGTAGTTCCTTGCAAAATTTCTTTGTTTTGATACCCCTAAAATCTGGTGTTTCCTTATCTTTGACAGAGAAATTCTCTGGTTTATTGGTACAGTAACTAATCTAGTGCATTTAAGGGGAAGCTGTTACCAACCTTTTTTTTCTGTCTTAAGTTTTACATCAGGGTAGGATGTTCTGAAGTCCAAGGTGAGGAGGAAGCTAGTGCAGATACTACAAGGCCTGCCAATCTGGTTCTTACTGTTCAGAAAAACAAAATAACTAGACTAAGAAGCTTACTGGTAATTAGTAGCTAATGTGTTTGTAACTATCATGTGCCTTAAAATTTTCATGGTAGGAGAATAAAAAAAAAATCAACAATGTGTTTTCTGTAATACTGCTCAACATTCTCTCTGTAGTTTAGACTGGTGGGATTTTGCATTGTATTTACACTGTACTATAAACTGAAACACTTAGAATGGTTTGATTTTACAAGTATGGAGAGGAAAAATAAAAAAGGTGGATTACGCTTTTCATAGAACAAATGTTACCGTGACAGAATGTATTATTATTATAGGATCTTTCCATAATGCAGACAAGTAGAATGCTTGTTAGAAACCAGGTATGTAGGATAACAATTTGGTGTGTTTTCAATAAACCATGCCTGGAAAGAATACATGTGCCATTGGTTATCTTTTTGTTACGTCAGGTACCTCAAATGTTCTTTGGCTTTGGAACAGCAGATTTCTGTGGCAGGGGATTATTGAACCCTAGTTCAGTTCAGTGTACTCAGTGTTAGTAAAAGGTCAGTGGTAGTGAGGGCAATTGGAATATCCTCCAAACTTACTATAGCTGAAAATATTTTGATTCATTGCCATATGCTGGAGTTGCAGCATGACCCTGAACTGTTGATCATGGTGGTTTTGTCCTTTTTAATATACACCTGTATTTCTGTGGGAAAGACATCTGCATCACCACTCAAAGGCCTGCGCATTTGGGACCACAAGCCTAGCTTGCTGATGGCTTTTCCATTTGGGAAGTTAATAACTTTTCCTAATTTGGTCATAAAATCCATGTAACTTTACAAAGATGTCCCATTTCTGAAATATGTGTAAGTATTCTCATAAATGTAAGAATAACAGAAAATCTTTATTGCATTGATGTGTGCCGTTTGGTTGACATAAGAAATGGTTATTTTGGGAGTGTGCCAAATAATTTACATTTGTTGCTATGTGGGGGAGAAAAATCCTGATACTGAGAAGTCAACCATGTGTTTGAAGTAACAGCTGGTTACTGACAGATCTGAATTCTTTTTCAGACCGCCTTCTCCTGGCACATTCATCTGTGTTGGTAAGGTCAGTAGGGAGGCTGCACCTAAACACATCACAGTGACCGCCATGCCTACATGAAGCGTGGCAAACCCCAGTAAATCTTGACATAGTGTCTGTCTTACAAGTAGAGTGGAGGTCAGGTTTTCTGTGAGTGGAAACCTAGTAACAAAATGTGCCATGTGTTCAATTCCTGATTGTACCATCCACAGCACTAATGTAAGGTTCCATTTACTCACAAATGCTTGCAAGCAGCACTTGAAAGCTCATCTTAGGCTTGCCTTCCTTCTTTATTTCAGATGTCCTGAATGCATCCTCAGCAGCTCTGTAAAATCATCTCCAGGTTCTGTTCTTGCAGCTGCAGGATTTTGTTTCACAAGTGCTCTGGGCTTAGCATCGTGCTCCTCGGTATTGTCAGTGTTCTGCTGCAATGAGGAATCTGTTTATTTCTTTATGGATACACTAACACAGCAATGAAAAACAGATGCTGTAGGTAAGGTACTGAGCTAAAACAAATATGTTGTTTCTACAACTGACCTTTTGTAGCTGTCAAAGTGATTTCATTTCCAGCTTATCACAGGTTGGGCACATGGAAGCAGTGAGTTCTGCAGGTGAAAGGTTAACCTGGTAACAACGGGTAAGAAATATCACAGCCCTCATCTGTTCCAGGTTTCAGCAGTGTCTTGGGGGAATATTCTGTCCACAGAGGTCTCTTCCCCAGTGTTTTACTGTGAAGGTCTCTGTGCACCTGAAGCACAGCAACGGCAGAATCTCATTCTGGTAGAGGCTGACAGAGGCGTTTTTTGCAGTGGGAAGTTGTTTTATAATGGCATTGTTACCTGTAGAGCCAGAGGCAAAGACAAACTTTTACTATGTTTAACGTAAAAATGCAAATGTAACTAGCTGTTATTCATAAGATACCTTATAACTAATTCCTAATTGATTGACTACTCAACCAAGTAAGCATGCATCACTGCATTATATGTATTTTGAACGACAAAACCATGTCCCTCTGAGGTAACAAAGAGGCTCTTGCAGAAATCAGGCCTCTCTTTCAGGTGTTGCCTGAGTCATGAAGAGAACCTAGAGAGTAGCTGTCATTTGGAGAACAGATCTGAATTACCAGTATTTGGTGGGATCAACCATTTGTGACGAGTTGTGAGAATTTGCTGAAGGCAATGTTGTGTTTTAAGGGAGTTCTTTCCATTGGGAGCTTTCTATCTGTGGTACCCTCTCAGTGGGTGCTCTTTAAACACATGCTTCCAGATGCACAGTTGCACACCTGATTTGTGAAAGAACAGGTTATGTCTTCTAATTGCAATAGGCTGATGTTGCAGTAACACTCAGCAGGTTTTTAGGATATATTTGAATTGGAAGATCCACTGCCCACCTTTTGCTTCTGCCAGAATTCAAAGCATTACTTTATTCTGAAAAGTAACTCTTCTCCCAGGGAGGTTTCACATTTATGTGTCAGTGACTCCAGATCATATTTGCTTAACTGACCAAAAGCCTTTTTTCTAGTTGTCAGTCATGCAAACTGAGTCAGGCTTTTTCCTTTTCATCCCTTGCCACCAATAATTAAGGGCATTTCAGAAGTGTGGTCAAGTGGAAAAAATGTTCTTGGTGTGGAATTTGGTAAATAATCTGATGATACACACACTGTGGTTATTTTCACAGTTTGCCATGTGGGAGATACTTTCTAATGAATTAAAATACCTCTTCTGTACAAAAAGGTGGCTGTTATATTTGCACATTTGTTACACATGCATTATTCACTAATGCATCTCTTGAAATATCCATGTTAATTCAACAGGTTCCCTGCTTCCCTGATTTTCTTGATAGTCTCTTGGACATTAATTTTGGCCATTAACTAGCAGTAGGAATGTATTTTTCTGATCCTCCCTTGTAAAGCGGAGAACATTTTACTCATTTACTCTTTTCACATCCTTCATGTATCTGAGACTTTGTTTTGTAGGTGTGAAGTACCCTGCTATAGCAGAAGTATCTGTTTAGGTGCAAAGGTGTTTAAAGCTAGAAACAAAAGAGGATTCTTTGGAGTCATGACCTTAGGTGTACATAGAAGAATGCCTGTCAGCGGTATGTATCCTGATTTCCCAGTATCATAGAATCATAGAATAGTTCGGGTTGGAAAGGACCTTAAGATCATCCAGTTCCAATCCCCCTGCCGTGGGCAGGGACACCTCACACTAAACCATGCCACCCAAGGCTTCGTCCAACCTGGCCTTGACCACTGCCAGGGATGGGACATTCACAGCCTCCTTGGGCAACCCATTCCAGTGCCTCACCACCCTTACAGTAAAGAATTTCCTCCTTATATCCAATCTAAACTTCCCCTGTTTAAGTTTTAACCCATTACCCATTGTCCTGTCACTACAGTCCCTAATGAATAGTCCATCCCCAGCATCCCTATAGCCCCCCTTCAGATATTGCAAATTTCCAGTATGCTCTGGAAACTTGTGCATGTCAGTCTGCTTGATGGTTACTTTCTTTTGCAAGTTTTGCACAAACTCCTTGGAACCTCCTGAAGTGACTTTGAGTTAAGCCTGGACACTAAGAGGACGTGGTGCTGAGCAAGCTTACAGAATAAATCAACTTATTCACAGTGTGAGATGGAAGTGTTGGAGCTCAGAGTTTGCTCCTACACAGGACAGCACAACAGAGTCACAAGGGGCTGCCTGCATAATCTAATCCATTATAGTAAATCTTGTTTTTCTCAATGTGACAGAGTTTAAATTGTTGAAGAAACTCCCATAATGTGGCCTTCTCATATTGCTGTGAAATGCACACACTGTAAGCTGGCTGGGTCACTGTGCTTTGCTTGGTCCATTTCTAAATTGCCTGTCACCTGAGTCTGTTCTAGTTTTCCTTTATACTGTGGGGCAATACTCTGCTAGGCTCATGACTGGTGTCCTAGAGGTGGATTTTCTCTACCACGTAGGCCAGGAGAGTCACCACTTCAGTAAGGTGAGCGGTAAAAGGAAGAAGCTGATAACAGGTCTGAAAGAATCCATAATAGGAAAATGGGAATGGTTCTCCCTGATTTTTCACTCTCATTTTCAATTGTTAGATCTTTCTGTGGCTGTTGCAAGGCTGGAAATTCCCAAGTGCAATACAGAATTCATGGGAAACAAAGGAAGTCACGTGCCAGCTCTATTGTTTTTTAGGGTTTATTTATAAATGCGACCATTGCCTCATTACATAATCACAGCAGGACATGCCAGAATGCCAGTGGATTTATGCATTGTTCAGGTGAGTGAGAGATTTCATATTTGGGTTGTTGTCTTCTCAGGGACAGCCCTCACTATTCCCATAGTGTTAGCAGCACTGAGATTAACCAGGGTGTGCAACACCTACCTGGTAAAACCTGTTCTCTCTGGTCTTTATTTTTATACAGCATCTTAAAACATACACAGCACTTCAGAGTAAGCAGCTTGCCTTGTTCCTAAAAAGCACATACAATGTCTATACAATATAATGAGAGGATAAGTAAATATGAGGGGTAAACAGCATTTTCCTAAGGTCAAATATTAACGTAGTTTTGGAGGTTTTGGTGTTCCTTTGGAAAGAGCCTGCTCCTTTTGTTCCCTGTCTGTTAGTTTTAATAGTTTTAACCTATTTACTATTCCAGTTTTCCCTGCCTCTGCATGGATAGATTAATGACTTTGTCTTCTGCAAAATTCTGTTCTGTTTTCTCACTGCATGGGTCAGTCTTCCTTCAGTCCATGCCCTTCTCTCTCACATAGCAGTGGTTAACTTTTGCAGTAACAATGCAGAAATGTATCTCAGTGCAGTAGGAACCTTCATTGCATTAAGTAGCATGCTGGTAATCTGGCAAAACCAGGGCTCCTGAAATGGTCTTCTCACAACACACATGCTTTTTTTCCACTCTTGATAGTGATTACTCAGGTCAGCTTGGGGATACATATCTTCAGAAGTTGTGGCAACTTTTTCCACCTCACCCTAAGCCCAAATCAGGTTTGAGTTCAAAATAACAGACTGTGTTATTTGATGACCTGTTGGTCAATGCGGTGTGCAACACCTTGGGTTTGCTGAATTATGTGAAACAATGGAACAGACCTTTGAGCAGTTACCCTACTTCTGATTTTGTTTTCCACCTGGTCTAAAGTGATCTCCACTAGCACCTGCTTTAAGTACAGGCTCCAAAATACAAAAAAACACCCCAAAATATAAAGCATGGAAAAATTAACTTGTGCAGTTGCATTTACATGGTTGAGTATTAATGGCCCTCTTTATCCCAAAAACACAGCCTTTTCCATAGCATCCTCAGCTTTCATATATTCCAGATGAGATGGGTAGTTAGTGCATTGGAAATGGGAGTTGTTGCGGACATAGTTAAGGAATTCTGGAGCTCCTGGGATGATGACATTGTCGGCCAGAAGAACCGATCCCTTCCTCAGCAAGTTGCATTCCTAGAAAGAAGAGAAATTGCTTCATGGTGGCTGTTAAGCAGACATTGGCTTGAATGTAATGTGCTTTCATGTTAAACCATGTCATAACCAAGTGCCTGCATCCAGAACCCCACCGTACTACAGGTATGGAGGGAAGAAAAGACATGGGAGAATCTGAGTAACTCTAATCCTTTGTGGGCATGTTTAATATGCTAACTTCTAAACAATCTCATTAGAGATACTGATGACATGTTGGATCATTTGGGTCCTGAAATAGCAAATCAAGTGAAGTGGTGGTGTGCAGTTTGCTGCTCAGATCATTTCCAACTGTGTCTACATGACCAGAAAGATGGTTTTGTTTTCACTCTCATGCTTAAGTTTGAAAACTTTAATATGGCATAAAAATACTGTAGTAGTTGTTTAAATAAAAACTTTAATATGGCATAAAAATACTGTAGTAGGTCCCCTGAGAGACTGGCATGGACCAGTCTGCTTGGCCAGTCTCAGCAAAACTCCAAAACATCTAAATGAGTAAGAGATTTTCTGTGCTTGTTTTCCTTTCACCCTGTACATTCTGCCACTTTGTTCAGGAACCGGGCATGAAGCAGGGCTTTTGCACAGTGAAGATCACTGACACATTTCCACGAGGCATAATTAACTTGTAATACTCACTTCAAGTACAATGTTTATCCTCAGTTAACCTACAAACCTAATTTTTCTTGGTGTTTTTGTCTAGCAGAAGTTGCTTATCTGAGCTTACCAGCTGTTTTAAAACAGTCTGTAGTTAATCAGGCTGGTTGTTATCCTGTGGTTACAGGCAGCAGTTGTAGCCAAAACGGGGGGTGGGGTGGGTTTTGTTGCTCCCAATACATTAGAGAAGTTCTGTTGATGAGGGTGCTGTGGATAATGTTCAGCTTTCCGCTGTTGCCCCTGGTGACCCCATACTGGTCAGCATAGAAGAAGCAATTTTAGAGACAGCAAATACCCTCTGGTCCATTTCTATTGCAGAGCTTATAGAAGCCTACAGGTGACAATATGCTGTATATTCCACTGGTCACTAGGATTTCAGATGCTTTTTTGTGTCAGGAATGCTGTCTGGCCCACTTCTGGTGTATATTTCATTTGAATATTGTACATTTCCTATTGGATATTCATATTGCAATACATGCCAAAATTGCATGTTAGAAGGTCTATAACAGCTAAGAAAATGTGATTATATTTTCCTTGTAATTCTCCTCTTAATTTCATAAGGGATTTTTGCAACTTTGTATCACAGTTGCATCAGACTGACCACTATGATGGAGCTAAACTACCTGTTTGTTTTGGCTGTGTTGTGAAGATTAAGCTCTGATAAGGAAGCACCAGCTCTTCCCAGTGGAAAGAGCTCAGTCATCCTTACACAGCCAGTTTAAAAGAAAACATTCTCTGGGCACAAAATAACTGTAGGGAGGGAACAATTTGTAAATTCAATACTGGCTGTCCGTAACACCAAACAGATTTTCTTTTCAAACAGCTATCTGGAGGACAGGCCTGAAATTAAAAACCAGGGGAGCCTGGATGAGGAAATAATGTGGATTTATTTGTGAAGAAAACAATAGAAAAGTTACACTTCCATGCATACAGGCAGTGTAGACAATCTTACCAGCCTGCAGCTCAAAGCTAGGAGAGTGTATGTGCTGTGTTGACAGATACAGATGTTGTCAATCTCAGTTATTTAACACCTGAAAATTCCTTCTTATCCAGAAGTCCTCTGGGACTTGCTTCGTCTGTCATTGCCTACTGTTGTTACACATTTTGTAATGCTTATAGTAATAGTTAAGGCAGGTTGGGAAGAATGAGTGTAATTTTTCCATAGTCAGGACTGGAGACAGTTGGACAGCAGTTCCCAACAAGTGCCTGACTGGGGCAGTCTGCACTCCTCCAAAGGTTGTTTTGCCACCATTTGGGTGGAGCAAAGACTCAGAAAGATGATACCCAGCTGTGCTACCAAAATAGCGTTTCATTCAAAGGCTCTGCTGGCACAACAGACCCTCGGCAAAAAAAGGGTACTGAGGAAATGAGGGAAGTGGAGCTGAGACACACAGGCCCTGAGTCTCACCTGCTCCCCGCATCAGGATGGTTTGGGGTCAAATCTTCCAGTTAGTGACCATGTAGACACTCCTTCTAGGGAGCTTAAGACCCAGACAATGCACTCCTTGAGCTAGGATTGTTCATGAAACACAATGGTACAACAGTATTTGCCAAGTCCTGAGCTATGTAGTGTCAGCAGCTGTCCCTAACAAAAGTTTGGGATCCTTTCCCCAGAATCCTGTTTTCTTGTAAGGTTTCTATTTTGGCTGTCATTCTTCATTTTACAGAGGATTTAGTCCTTCACAAAGAATATAGGCCTCACAGACATCAAGGCATTTGCTAGTTTACTTTTAAGACTGAAATTGTGGAAACTGACCTGAAGCAGGATGGTATCTGGTGTGTATCTGTCTTTCCAGTGGTCCAGGAAGACAAAATCCAGAGTATCCACTTCATATTTTTTCTTCAGCTGGGGAATAATTTCCTCTGAAGGGCCTTCTAGGAGTCTTACCTGAAATGCAAATCCATCTGATCAATTGAGAACCATTAAGAAAAAGCACGTGCCTCTAGCTCATTTTAAACTGTGGCCAGACTGAAAGAAGCTGCTGCACATTGATTTGTCAAGCAAGAGCCATATTCTGTGTGCGGAAGAAAAAAGTGGTAAGGAAATCTGTCTGGTTTATGACTCATAGCTGATCGGGAAATTAAATCAGATGGGGAAAATGCAATTTTAGATGTTGCTAGTGCTTCAGGTTCTCTCCAAGAAGTCAAGAAACGCATTAGAAGATCTCATGGTGGGATTTATTTCCTCTGGTTTTATCACCTGAAGTGATTTGTCTAGTTGAACAGACAGGCACTTCTTCAGCATGAATCCCCCGACCTGCTGTAGATTTCAGCCCTGGGCTGATCTGGGTTATAGACTGGAAATAACTGCATCCTAGCCAACTGCACAGAGTCAAGACACCTCAGATTGCACAAAATGCATATATACATATATATATATATAGTGACCAAGTAGATTTGGGTAAGTACATCTCATCTGAAGTCCATTGCACATAATGCAGCTCTTTTTTGTGAGCTGTCTCACATAACAAAGAACTTTGGAGAACAGCCCTGATTATTTTGGTCACACACACCCCCATACCCTTGACTTCAAACTATCCTGACTCTCAGCTGGGTCTGTGTCATACTTGGGCCCCTGACTAATGCTATCAAATTTAGTTTGTTTGTGCTGTATATACAAAAACACAGATGACCTCGGTCCTTTTCGTGGACACTGGTAGCTTTTCTCTATGATCTAGCCTGATGGTTGAACTCTGCATGTTCCCAAACACTTAGGGTGTTACACTTGCTTGACAAGTAAAAACCAAATGTAAACCTATTCATGTTGTTTCTATAGGTAAAGTCCTGATCTCTATGTATTGCTTCCTCATACTAATTGGAGACAAATAGTATTCACCTTATCTTGCACTCCAGCAAACTCAAACATCTGTTTAGCTATAGCAGCAAATTCTGGGTTGAACTCCACAGTGAGAAGACGAGCTCCTGCCTTCAGCAGCCGAGCAATCCTAACTCCTGAGTAGCCACAGTATGTTCCCAGCTCCAGTGCAACCGATGGACTAACCTCTTCCACTGTCTTGTCTAGAATTACACCTGCATAAAATGGAAATATGTTAACTTCTTACAAAATCAATCTAGATCACATACAGAAGAGCAAGTTAGTGACGAGAAACTTACTAAGTATACTCAGTTGCTAAACACATTCAGAAATTAAGGGTTGATGTCAAATGGTATGCTATATCCTTTGCAAACTGACCTATCTGTGATCAAGTTGATCATGGAAATTCTAAGTTTTGAAATGCAAACTTTCAACTAGAAAAAATCTTGCTTAGTTTCACAATATAAACATTTTTGAGTGAGGAAGTGCCTGAATTAACTAAAATGTTTATAGTGTTACAAGGGAAAAATGCAGTGGGCTTGTCTAAGAATTTATTGCCGAAACTAGGCATGTTTGTGGAACATGTAAATCCTGAATTTTGATTGCTCTTATTTGTTGCAAATGTTACATGCAGTCTACAAAGTTTCTTATCCTAAATACTGTTTTTTAAAGAGGAAAGAAAAATGTAGTTACGAAGTTGCAAAATACTTGGATTCACTGGATGAATTTGAGGGATGGAAAACATCAGTCAACAACAACAAAACGTTACCAAATAAGTGGTAAGACGCTGTGCTATATTCAGTCCTTCCGAAGAAAAGAATTTATTTGTGAGAAAACTCTTTACTTGTGTGGCTGGAAACTAGAGAACTACTCTGACAAAGTGTTTGAAGGGATCTTACAGTGAGCCATGGAATTTTTCAGTGTACATAGAAATTTCATTATCTGGTACTTTCCTGGATGTCATTTGTTTATGAATAGTACGATGATGATGGTTGCTTCTTGGCATCACGTGGTCACTCCCAAAATCTCTGAGACTAAAGACGCGTTAATGATGGCTCTGATCGGAGGAAAGGTCATCTTGTCAGAGCAAAACCGGAGTGAAATCTTTAAGAATATAAGCCCAGTTGATCAAGGTTTAGAGCTCTTAAGAATTTCCACTCAGCCACCACCCACTGTTCCATTGCCCTCAGCACCCAGCCTGCTATGCAGAGTTTCAAAAACTGTACCCATGACAGAGAAGCTGTTACAATGCTTACTGTTGTATTTCATTAGCTATGTTAATCCCAGGCTAAGCAACTCTCCCCTGCAATTCCCCAGCAAGAGGTACTTCTGTGTCTAATTCATAACACGTTAACATTTTGCCATTACAGTTTTTTAAAAGATTGTCACTTTCCTGCAGCTAATTAAAAAATAAACGCTTTGTCCACGTATTTTCCTTTAGGAGGCAAGAACAAGGAAATTCACTTGCTAAGTAGCAGCAATGTCTGAGCACTGCTTCTGTGTATTACACGGGTAGGATTTTTCCCTTCAACGCTGATTTGTAACTTATGCTTGCATACACAACATAGTTTAAAATACTCCACACTCCCATCCCCCCATTTACTATCTTTCAGTTAAGGATCAGAAAGTATTTCACGTAATGAATTATGCCTTAAGGGCACCTTGTATAAGAACTGAGGTATAACCCAACCTAGATTTTCCTCGTAAATTGTCACTCTCTGCTTACACAATTGCAGTGTACACAACACGCAAACCCAGACTGGGTCCTGTGACTTCCTGGATTACTCACTGGATACACACAAGGCTGTCGTGGGGTTTTGAGGGGGAGGGGGGAGGTTGAGTTTTGGGTTTGTTTTTGTGTTCTCTCAGCAGATAGAAGTTACCATGTGAACACAATAACATGTCCTGTAATGTACTAGTCTTGAAGGATTGTTCAAGTGCTGATCCCTGCTTGCAATTACCTTTCTCATTGCCCACGTTCATGGCCCACTCTTTCTGGGAGCAGTACTTATCTATAGCATCCAGCACACTACAGGGGTCTCCCCGGACTGCATTCTGCAGCACAAAATTTAAAATCCTCTGTTCCTTGCTCTGATTCATGATTAAATTGGTTATTTTCTCCCGGATTATTTCATTCCAGAGAAGGGAAGCAGTGGGGTTTCTCCTGATGAGTACCACAACCAGCAGCAAAATGAAAAGCAGGAGGAAGACAGTGAACAAAAGGACTGAAGAGCTCTCCAGCATCTGGAAGGAAAAAGAAAAACAGCCCAGGGTTAAGGTGGCACGGAAGAGATCTATCCTTTTTGTAAATACTAAGTTGAGTAACCCATAGCCAACCATACTTGAACAGCAACACACAGAGTTTAATTATGGTATTTTCTAGAGTAGCTGAAAACTGCTCTGTCACTTGGTAATAGATGGTGCTCTGTGGCACTCCCTTTAGAAGCCAATTTTACAGGCAGTCAACAAGTAGCTTTATTTAATGCTCTGGTCCCTTCCCCCACACAGCTGCTCAGTCCTGGCTTCATGCATGCCACTGCACAAGGAGCCTCCCAGCATCAAATCTGTTCTCTTTTTTTAAAGGATTTAAAACCTTAAATCAGAGCCTGCATGTGATCCCTCTTTCCTGTATTTTTGAGCACTGGGAAACTTCTAAGCTGGCCTTGGTTAGAAAATATGGAACATCTCACCGTTTAATTTTGAGCACAGTTATCAGCAGAAACTGGCCACTGTGAAGTAACATTCTGTTTCAAGCCAGTCTGCAGGTTGTGAGTTACTACCCTGCATGCAGAGCTCTATGCCACCACCTGCCCTTCTTGCATGTTCCGCAGAGAAGCTGAGCTTGATGTTTCAGTAGGACTCCACCTTCCCCTTCCTTTCAGAGCCTGCAGCAGAGGGACCCAGGTGGAATGTTTTTTCAGAAAATAGAAGCCTTTTTCCTGCTTATAACACCTTTGACACAAGAGGTTAATCTGAGAACCAAAGATGCATTTCCTTTTATAAAATAGGGATGTTTTTTCACTGGTTATAAAAATATAAACTGAATCCCTGAACCAGAGAAGAGCTCAGACTCATGAAATTGAAGAGATGTACAAAAGGACATGTTGTACTTCTCTGATCGGCCAGCTCAAATCATCTGATGGGATTGTGCCTGTTCTCACTCTGAAATTCAGTGTAACAGCTGCAGATGCCTGTGTGTGTGCAGCATGGGCAGTGTGTCTTTTTGAGTTTAGGGCATCTGAACATAAAGCTCAGCAGATGAGATGCATGTCACCCTGTACAGATCAAGCAGTAAATCCCATCAAAGCCATTTAGTCTGATGGATTTCAGATAGGCTAGTACACAGGGAGGTGCATTTACCTCTTTGCAGGAGCCACAGCACAAAGGATCTCATAAAGAAAGGGTTCTTAATATTAAGCAATTGATTTAGCTTTTGACAGGGTGCCAAACTAAGAGTTTTGATTTGCCTGAGGACTCTCTCCATGTGAAGTTCCTCTTGTACAACTCAAAACACACCTCATTTCTGATGATGCAGCTTATAACACCTCCGCTTTTCCCTTTCTGCTTCCCACAAGCAGAGCTGACAGTTGCATGCTGGGAGGACAGCACAGTTTGGAATGTGCTGCAGTTAGTATTAGGATGAATGACTGCCGAGTTCATTTGTTCTTTAAGTCTAATTAAGCATTTGACCACAAGTCTAAAGGATTCAGAACCTGTTTCTTAACCTCAGCAGGCTGGATTAAGTTGCACTTAAAAAAACAAACTGTTACAGAACATGACACAACTCTTTCTAATCTCTGATCCTTTCTATGAAGTCTCTTTCTCTTCCAGGTGGTAAAAATGGTGAACGCCTGCACTTATATTGCACTCCACCAACCTTCAGCAAAACCAGTCCTCTAATAGGAGCTGCAACATCCTCAAAATGTTGGCCTAAGTTGCCCAAAACCAGAGGTAAAGGGGCTATGTGATTAGCCAAATATTCCCCAGGTCTCTTCCTGCTTGTTCCTGTTTCTCTTTTTTTTCCCAGGATTGTCCCAAGAATATTGTAAATGTTACGTGTTGCCAGACCTCCATTCTGCAGTGGGAGTTGGCACATACACATTACACACGGGGAAAAATCTATCCCACTGCTTTGAATTTTTAATCATCATGCACAACAGACTTTGAGTTTAGAAGATAACTGAGTTTCCATGGAGATATGCTCACAGTGGAGTTTGTTCACCCATCCATTTATCTTAGTTGCACAGCAAGTATGATTTGTTTGGAGCAGTCAAAAGTCTATTTATTTTGCTTTTAAGTAGTAACCACTGTTAATGCTTACCTTAAATGCTTTCCTTGCAAAGTCTGACCTGAGACATTTCCTTTTAGAGCTTGTCAGCATCATTAGCACAGAAAAATCGTGCTTCTTGAACATCATGAACTTTATTTCCTAGCTAGTTAAGAATCTGTTCCTCTACCTCAACAGGATCATCAAGACCTGGATGTCAATTTTGCTTCTTTCCTTCTATATACTAGTAGCCCTACTGATCAGGCCTAATTGTCCTACATCTTCCAGGTGGGACTTGTGCTCTTTCTAGTTCTACATGAAGATGTTCGACATTATCTGTCCACCAAGAACTGGGCTGGGCCTTAGTTGATTGTATGGTCATTGTTGATGGATTTGGATTACTGACATAGTTGAGACATAATTATTCTGAACTGTGGTGAATGGATGGAGCCCAGAAGCTATTTACTGATGCCAGCAGGTATCTAACCCTTCCTGCCTCTGCACAAGGGAAACCGCATGAGCCCTGCTTACCAGTGACTCATTTGGTGGCAGTTCAACTGTATTCGGGTCCCTGTAGAACTGAAGACTGTTGGTGTTCAGAATTATTTCATACTGCTGCCAGACATAATCCTCTGGTTACAAAGGATACGTTGGCATCCTCTGAGTACAACTTGCCACAGCCTGTTGCTTTGACACTGTGAGATTCTGACAGTGTGTTTGGGGCTGCCTTCAAAGATCTGCTGGAGAGCAAGAATGGATATCTACAGGTGGTGTATTTTGTGAAGAACAGCTTTCCCCTATTGCCTAGTGTAGATATGAGACCATTTGCTGAGATTTCTCAAAACAGGGAGAGAGAGCATCTGTAGGCTATCTCAGGCCCACTCAGGAATGCTGAGATTTCTTTTACATACGGGGAACAGATTGTGAAGACTTATTTTTATACTTTAACAAAAAGAAGCTTCTTGACAGTAAAATCCTGCCCCTCCATTTTCACACTGTTACCCAGGCATGGAAGGGTATGTCAGCAAACCAGATTTCCATTATCTTACTTTTCTCACGCTACTACAGGCTCTGTATACCAAATTTACAAGACATCACATGCTCAGAAGCCCACATAATAAAGAAGGACAGTATCTTCCTCATCTGCAGCCTGTGAAATGCTATTTCTTAACACATCTCTGTTAGCCAGAGCAGAGCAAATCCCTCAAGTTTGCTGATCTTGAACAAACACTTCACCCTTCTCCTTACTTGGACAGCAGGATCTTTTTAAAGATTTTGTTGTTTTAAGAGTGCACTTCATGCAGAGAAAGACTCCTTGTTTGAGATGTACATGCCCTAACTTTTCAAATGCATAGACTGCATTTAGGCTGCTGCAACCTGGCAGGTGTAGTGTGACATCCTGCTACTAAGATGCAACTAGCTTAACAAAAGGTGTGAATTGGGATATGCTTCTGAACCACACAGATAGCCAAAGCCACCTGTTTCTTCTAGCTATTCCTTATGCAAAACCATGAGCAGGCCTTTAGCTTCTCTGGAAGGGCAACAACTGATAGTTCTGCTGGGCCACCTGGAAACAAATTTTGCATCTTCACCTTTGAAATCTTATCACTTCAAGTTCACCCAAGAATCCCCTCTGAAGGCAAAACACTGACCTCATTTCTCTTCTGATCTAGACTGCTGAGTGGCTGCTAACCCTGGTTTGTTTACATGTTTTGTGTAACGTATTTGTTAACAAGACAAAAAAAGCTATATGTGAAAGCTCAAACATACGTGATAAGGGGATGATCTTGGATCTAAAACTTAACCAAGGAAGCAATTCAGTTTGGCTATTCCTACGATTAAGCGCTTGGAGGGATCCATTTCTTACTGTGCCTCAGTTAGATCTTGGCACTTCTGAGTCCTGCATGAGTGCCACCTCATATAGCAGCAGAGCCCACCTGCCTCCCACAGATCCTTAGAGGCTGCTCACAGATTGCAACAACCTGTATCGCACATGCTGCTTTTTTCCATTCCTAGACAAGTTCACTTGGTTTTGCTGTATCAAGGAATGTTTTTCAGCTGTTGGGGGGGGGAGGGTTTATGCTTATTAATGCTGTGTAACACCTCAGTGCCTTCATAAACTGTCGTTATGGGTTGTTCATAGCAGAGCTCCTTTAGGAGACAATTATCCTGAAAACCAGTTTCCAGAGAAAGTAACTTTTAAAAGGAGCAAACCAGAAATACCTTGGTTTTCTCTTCTTTTCCTTTTTTTTTCTTTTTTCTTTTAAGCACTGTTTCTTTTTTAAAGTTTGTCCCTCTTAATCTCCGTCTTCTCTAGATGTGAGAATAAATTTTGTGATAGCAGGAGACTGTAAAAGCAGCCTGCCAAGGGCGAGATGCATCAGTGATGGTCATGTACCCAGAGGGGAAAAAAATCTGTACCAAAATAGGTAATTGCTTTCACATTCTTAGCTGAAAAGTATTTGATATGAGAATTAAGTGTGTAATTCAGCCAGTTTCAAACTACCACTACCTAAGAGACAGTCATGTTATGACAGCTTTAGAAAATGCAACTGTAATTTTAGCTTTAATATGGATTCATGAGGTTCATTAAATATGCAGTAAAACTGAACTTGCACATAGTCAAGTTTCCCATAACCACTAATTATAAGGCAGTCGCGCTTATTATTTAGTGCTTGTTCTGAGGTTCCAAATACACAGCTTAGCACTGCAACCTCTTCTGTGCATTAGAAACACCATGATAAAGTGAGACTTCTCTTTGAAAACTAAAATTTGAAGTGGAAAATAGTAGGCAAAATAAAAAATTCAGCAAGGGAATAAAGAGAAAACTGGAGGGATAACATTATGAAAAGGAATGAATAACATCTATCGCTAAATCTGGTTTTGAGAAGACAGAGTTTAAAAGAAAACATATTAAAATTTCATGCCCAAACCTGTCAAAGTACTGACGAGTCTTTCTAAAGCACTGGGTTATTTTCTTATGCATCTAATCTTACTCATTTTGGCAGGTTTCATAAGACCAAATCATAACTTCACAGTGCAGTTCAGCAGTTTTCCCCTGTTGCAAACCATAACTAAACTTGAATGGGAGCACCTCTGCTTCAGCGTACAGAGATTTAAAACAGCACTTTCAAAGAAAGAAGCAAACAGGAATTGTGGGTATCTGCTGCCCCAATTTATCTGCCCTTAAAAATTAAATACCTAAGTCATTCCAACGGCCATAAATGAAATCTCAAGAGACTGGCGCAGTCCTGGGGATCTGTTATGCCAGTAGTTGTTTTAGTTAGGGATTCACTACCCTCTTACTGTAATAAGAGCTCCAGTTTTTCTAAAAACATAAAAATGCCCATGTGACAGAGCACAAAACAAGACATCCTGTTCTTTATTCGTGTACAGGTGACTCCAGCCATTTCACCACAGGTTACAATAAGGGTCTTTTGGTACTGTTATTTATCAGTCCTTTTGGTAATTTTTTTCCAAGTACTGTTAAAAAATCACTGGTCTTAGAAGTCCCTGAAGTGAAAAAATAAGGATTATAACAATTGGAAACATCAATGTTTAATGTAACTCCAAGTCACCAGATGAATTCAAATCAAGATTTTTCTCAGTGCTTCTGAAGTTTTTGTAACACTGTTAGAGGAAAGTGTATGGAGATTTGGCCTGAACTACTGACTGCTACTGTTTCTCTCTCAGATTCCAAAACAACCTCCTTCTGCTAAAAGCTGATATTTACAGAGAAGAAAAAAAAAACAACATGTTGAAAGTAAGCACCTTTAAATGCTCTGAGTTTTAATAAGGACACATGACTTGGTGAGTTTCACACTTAGCAGATTAAAAAAGTATTAAATTTGAATATTTAACTATTCTGAAGCTTAGTTCATTATAAATATTTAACAAGGCTTTATTTCCTACAGACGCAAAAATAAGATGACAGGTATTAAAATACTTGGGAGGTTGGAAACTGTTGGATAGAATTTTTTTTTTCAATCTAGTTGAATCCTTATAAGCCTTATTACAGAAACTCTCGTTACAGGTTTAGCTTGGAACTGATCCTGTTTTGCTTCGTACTAAAAATGAAGTCCTAAACATAACCACAAAAAACACCCTGTTCTACAAAACCAGCATGTATGTAATTCTGCTATTCCCCAGGACTGGAATGAGAGTAAAGTTTGTGATCCTGAATCAGGGAACTTGGGGTTGAATCTCATCTTGGCAATGTTTTTCTGATTCGATCTCGGGTGAGCTGTCTTACCTATGTCTCTGTTGCCAGAAGAGTAAGTTTAAGTTAGTGCTACTTCTATAACTTTCAAGGTGTTGCAAAGCTGAATTATTTTTTGTCAGAAAAATGCCTGCTGTGGATATAAGGTTTAAGTTCAAACTTTTTAAAAGCTACTGCTGAAATTATGCCATTAAGTATCTTATACACTAAAGCATGCAGAGGATTTGGATAAAAGTAAGGACATGTTAGCTCTTTCAGAAGCAGTGCAAAACAATGCAGAAGAGTCAGCACATTTCTACGTTTATTTTAACAATATTTGTTGCTCTGCACTAGGAGATCTGTGCCATCCCTGACTGGGACTGGAGTCCCTGACTCTCTGTCCTATGCTGCCTTGAGTGAGACAATCTCTGGTTTGTGGCATTTTGCTTTTCTTGTCTTTTCCCAGAGCAAAAAAGGCAGAATATTTTGGACAGAAAGCCTGAACTGATTTCTGCCAAACACATTGTATCCTGTTGCTGTAGGCAACACAATTCAACAGCTTCATAATTTAGTACTTTTAAAGGTCAAAAAAATATCTTTTTACCTCCTATTCTTTCATTGTTGTTTATGTATTTTAAAATGAGTGCAATACTGTGAAGAATAATCATCATATTGCCAAACGTGAATAGCTTGTATTTCAATGGAAACTTAGTCTGGGAATTTGACATTCAGATTTTCCACTGACATCATAAAAACAAGCTGAACAGACTTTATATAATTTTTCACTAAGTAGTTCTTGTATGAAATCTGAATTTCCATTTCCTAGGTTTTTCTCAGATTACTATAATTTAGCTTCAGTACCATGACTACAAAAATTCTGACTTCTATAAATGCAAACTTCTGATCATTACTTTTTTCCCCTTAGGCCTTTTGTCTTGTCCTTTTTCCTCCTGTTGAAAGGAAACAAATACAGATTTCTTCTTTCTGAATGAAAGGAAAAGAACAGAAAAGTGCCTACTGCCTATTTGGGAGCTCATCAACTAAGCTTCATAAGGGTGTTTATATCCATTCTCTTAATTTCAATTCAGATAATTGCTACCAACTTAAAGCTCCCTTCACAACAGCCATTGTCTAAGTGCTATCACCCAAAGGAAAAGGTTTATATAATGGCTATGTGCCTCATAAAGAAGTACAGGGTTTAGAATAAACTTGCCACGAAGAGAGGCCTCATCTCCATCCAACAAGCAGGTCCGTGTGGATCTGTAAGTTTCTGATCCGGTCTGGCCTAATCACACTGCATGATTTAAAGTCACAGTTTGGGGTGAGAGAATTCTTCAAGGATAAGAAATGCACTTTACCAGGCTTTGAGCAAAGACAGCTTTTCAGGAATAAGATCTTTTCAGGTACCCTTTGGAAGCATTTGCTCCTGGTAGTTGGTATTCCCACTCCAGAACATTAGATGTATTTGTATTATTTGTACTAGTGTTTGAGGCCAGGGTTGCAGCTCAGCTGAACTGTACAAACCCCATCTGGGAAGCAGTGGACTGCTAAAAGCAGAAAGTGCTCTGCCCTGCCAGCACACTACAAGCTGGTCTGTAAAAAGTTTTCTTGGCTGAGACTTTACGTACATAAAACTACCTCCTACTGAATGATTTTGCCCCAACTAGAGATTTGAAGATTTGGAAGAAAGGGCTGGCAGAGGAAAGACCAAAATGGCTAGTTATCCTCAGCATCATCACCTGCAATAGACTTATTTTGCATTCTCTCTTTATACCACAAAGATCAAGTGCTGAATCCTCAATGTCCCAAATCCCCACTGCGTGCTCCTGCCCTGCTTCCAAGGCTACCAGCTAATCTAGCGTAAATCTGTCTTCAACACAGCTTTCCGCCCTCCACAAGCTGCTCTTCAGGCCAGGGGGAGTGCACAACTGAAACCTGGTGAAACACTCATGGAAGGACCTGAAAGAGTAGGAAGGAAATTGCTGCTGAGATAATGGCTTATCTCTATGGAAATGAAGAGCTCTAACAGGCCAGGCAAGGTGGGATCACCACAGCACAGCAGGTAACCAGAACACTGTGTGGGAAGAGGCAGCATAACTGAGACAAGCTCAGGGCATGAAACCTTGGCCTCAAATCCTGACAGAATGCCCTTCCCAGAAAACTAGCTGGAGTGGCAATAGAATGTCTCTTACTTTACTTAGAAACTGCTTTCTGAGAAATCTTTTCTAATAGAGATCAAGCTAAACTGGTATGGAATGCCTCGTGCATTAAGATCTGGTTTCAACGGCTGCTGCCAAAAATATGTTTTTTCAGAAAATTCCAAGTCAATTATAATTCCAGTGATCCTGAAGGTTTGCTGACAGACAACAGTGTGAGACTGGCAGAGATAAACCTGATATCAGCTGCTAAATAATATTGCTAAACTTGAGTGACAAGTAAATTGTTTGCAGGGTTAATATGGTGAAACTCTTCTTCCACTGATGCAAACTAAAGCTGTATGTTGGCAAAATTTTATTTTGCATTTAAATACCGTGATGTTGTGCAAATGCATGATATCCTGAATGGGGTGGCTTTGTGAGATGAGCCCACAGCTGAGTAAGCAGAAAAAAAGCTAGGGTTAGTGCAGCTATGAAGTAAAGGTTGTTTATGGAGATCATCGGTATGACATGTGCTCGACAGTATTGGTAAATATGAGGGTTTTTATAAAGGACAGAATGTAAAGAATGTCCATAAAGGGCATCAGAAAACTACTTCATGAGCAGCAACTCTGCTAGCAAGCAAAAGTACAAGCTTTTTGTCTGTTCTTCACAGACATTTTGCTGTAGCAGAACTCCCTCTTGAGAATGAAAACTCCCATAAAATACAGCTGCAGCAACACATTTATAAAAGCAGCTATTCAGTCAAATATGACTGAACTGAAGCTTGACTCGCATCCAGCTTTTTCTTGAATACAAATGAGCACCAAATTCCAGCATACTTACAGCCATAAATTACATTTTCAATTTAGCTGGGGTTATCTCATTTCTTTCAACTGTCAAGGTTTACAATACAGTATAAATGCATTACACACAAATAAGTCCTACTCTTTCTCTGTGAAAGCTGTTGCTGCCCACAGACTGGCTTCCTGACAATGAGTACCAGTCAAAATGTGGAAAACACCGCTCCTTTCATACTCGCCACTGTTTAAAACAGTGACAGTATCTACGACAGCAAATTGTGTCAAGCCTGAGAAGTAAGAAAATATAAATAGGTACCTTTCTTGGTACAGCAGAAGCTGTTCCCTCCGATCTTTTCCTGTGCTGCTCTGCTGTGGATTTTATAGAATAAGAGTCCAAGAGCCTGCAGTATTCAGTCCCGTTCGATCACATCACAGGAATAGCTTATCAGTCCTGTTACAAGACTCTAAAAGGAGCGGTGTCCTTTTCTCCAACTCCTCCTTTCACTGGTTTCTGCGCTCCTTAAAGGTGCTCAGTGCTCTAATAACCCTAGAGAAAGCTGTTCATCTGTCCCCTAATGACAGTGTTCTTGTTACTTAGTTACAGCACAGTGAATGCTGACAAAGTCAGGTATGAGCCAAATCTGCGCTCAGTGTAAATGCATTGTGTTCAATCAAGCAACTCCAGGAATGAATTTAGCCCAAGGGATTCAGTTCTTTTTTCAGCTCAGATGTGGCATGCCTCAGCCAGTGCAGAATTTGTAGAAACAAGACCTAGGCATGTGGGTTAAATATAGAGTGCTGCTGGAGGGAGGAGAAGTATGTATACCAAATTGTTTAACAGCAACTACAGAGGGAAGTGCAATCAATACATTATAAATAGTACATTTGAATTTGTGGAGCTTCTAGGTGGAAAAATATTCTGCTACAAACAGCTCTAAGATAAAAGGATTATTCTAATAAGCCTTGTCGTCAGTTTGACTGTCTATACTGTTTCCTTTGAGGCAGAAACAATATAACCAAGCTGCAATTAAACTGCACCATAAAAGAAAATATTAAGAAAAAAAAACAAAAGCCAAACACAACGTGGTGGAAGTTCTCTGCTGTAATCTCACTACAAAACTCAAACCTAGTTAGCAAGTGTTTGAAAAGCTCTAGCCTAGAAACTTTTAAAAGATTTTAAGAGTTTGTATTACATGTGGCAAAAACAGGAACTGAAGATATGAAAACAGGCTTCGTCACATGATGGGGGAAGTCCTTGAAAGAATGAAGAACTACCTGAGAGCCCTTTAAGTGGATGAATTGCATAAAGAATTGTGGGAAAATGAGGTAGGTGAAGATCAAAGTGTTTTTAGTAAGTTAACAAAACATAACTAAGACCCTGCATTATAGCACAGTACTTAATACAGAATAACTTTGAAGTATCCCTCCCATGTATAACAGAGATTTAGTTCAACAAATAATTTTGCTGTAACCTAGACATCAAGAAGAACAAAGGATGAACTAAGCAATACTGCACTCCAGCTTCACTGACAGTAGTTTCCTACCTGGTCAAAAGCTGGTTCTGAAAGCATGACAGGTTAAAGCATGATACCTGATGCCACCCACAGTTAACATTAACTAAGAATTTCTTTTACTGCTGCTCTGTGGAGAAAAGAGCTTAAACCAGCCAAACTTATTCTATGCACTGACCTGATTCTGTAAGCTCTTCTTTGGAGCCATCCTAGCAGTTAACTGTAGCTAGCTGTGAACTGGTGGGTGGTATCAGCCCAGCTTATACCCAGGAGCAGAAATTTGTACCAAGACTTACCAGATTGAGCAGTGTCCTCTGACAATGCTTTTAAAAGATTTTGAACCTTGAGCTGAATCATATTGTTCAGGCTAAAAGCATGGGAGGAGAAAACTTGCTTCTGCGTGCCCACAACTGTTTACTTGGATGATAAAGGCTGTGCCTGCAGAGTAACCCTTTCTGTTGTCTAGATATTTAACTAGCTAAGTAAAAATACATGAATGGCAATAACTGCAAATTAGATAAAGGCAGAGGTTCAGTTAGTTAAACCACCCAAACTGTGAGATAATGTCCATAAGTTGCTTCCAAGTTAATAGAGAGTTGAACATTTGTAATACATTATTATGGGATTTTTTTTTTCCTCCAAGGGAAGTTTCTTTGGTAGGATGTTAAATATTGGCTTATGCCTTTATTTAAAACACCTTTTTGCCCAAGGCAGTGCCTATATATGTATGGATTGTTTGTAAGTTTCTATTAACAATACTACAAGCTCCAGATGTATAAATTTATACCATGTTCACATGACTTATCCTTGTCTAGATCGTAAAAATTTACCCCGACAGTAATACATCCAGGTCAGAGAACTGTGGACAGCTATAAATATCTCAGGTTTTTATAAATTTTTACATTGTACAAACACAATTTTTATTTGGGGACAAGATCTTAAAAGATGGATTTGATACTGCAGAACATCAGGATCCTGCATTCACAGGGCACATTTATAGGAAGATGTAGACCCAGCATGTCTTAGCTTGGGAGCAACATCACACGAATGACAGCAGGTCAGAATAACTGACTAGTTCACACTGAATAGCTCTGACAGTTGACAGAGTTCAGCTCAGATCTGTTTGCACAAACTTGAGTAGACACTGCTAATGTACAGACCTCCCAGTCTCAAATGCAGGCTACACAGCTGCCATCACGTGATGCAATGTGGCCATGCTATCCCCACTTGCTGTGCATAGCACGGAGCTAGAGCCTTCCCAGTAAATCCATGCCTGGCATAACAACAAATGGCATTCCCTTCTTCTAACAGTTCTGACCAAAGACTGTTTTTTAAAAGGCTAAACAAAGGGATACAGGAGAGCTAGCACATTATCACAAACCCCATAGATCATGTGAAACAATGAGTGGAAGAAAATTCTTTTGAGCTTGCATTTTCAGAATAGCAGGAGGGATTTTCTTTTATGTGAATTTGCTGTTTTCCACAGTCAAATTGGTTTCTCTTCCTGAGAACATGTAAAAGAGGAATTTTGAGAAAGGAAGCATCACTCTTGTATGAATCAGGAAACTGCCTGAAGATATCTAAAATAGGAAATAGCTAAAAGAGAAGGAAGATGGCTAGCAAAACTGTACTCTAAATTTTAACAAATAATACAAGTAATTAGACTGGCTTGTATTTATTGTGTATCATAAAAGTTATCATGTAGGCTGAAAAAGAACACCCCTTCCTGCTTTCAAAGGCTTCATAACTCCTTATGAAAACTCTGAAGCTCAGTTAAACCTACCATATTTCTGTCTTTTCTCCCCTTACTTTTTTGGTAACACATGTTGAAGCATTTGAACAAAGTTAAAATTTGAACTTGTGTTACTTGAAGCTTCATCTGTTTCTGCAGTTTTTTCCCCTTACTTGCAATCAATTAGTTGTTTAGGAAAAGCTATGAACAGAAGATCCTGTGTTAAGGAAGGAAGGAATAAAATAGCATAGATTAAATTCTGAATAACAACGAGTCCTAGTCTCAGACAAATTTCTGACAATAAAAAAAAAGCAAACCAAAGGGGGAATAGCAACAAAGCTGAAATGTTAAACTATTGCTGTTGGTTTATGAACCTGTGCAGAAATGTTTCCAGCACAGGAAACACTTTTAGCTGAAGGATGTATTATTTGTAATAGGATGTCTTTCTGGGCACTTAGCTTATATTAAAATGGTTGGTTTTCTCTTAGAACTACATTTTAAAATGGAATTTAAATTATTATCTCATGTAATTCTGTCATGTGTGTAACTTTTCTTAGGTTACTCAATGTAGTTGGTTTAGATGCATTTACAGACCTTACATTAAAATTTATTAGGTACTGGCATATGATATTTGTCCCATCCTAACAAAATGTTGTAAAATCTGTAGACTTCATATGGAAATCTGATTACCACCTTGATCTCATAAACCAACATTAGTCACCATCTTCCTTTATCAGATTGACTGAACTCTCCTAAAGGATGATTTGTCAAAGCTCTTCAAAGCAGCTATCAAAAATGCAGAAAAATACAGTAGAGTTGGATTGTAAGTAAACAGCCAAAGATTTCTTTGTGCTAATGAAAAGCGATACCCAATAAAATGTAACATTGGAAAATTCTTGCTATACAAGTCAGTTAAGAAGCCTTAAATAAAAGTGATAAACATGCTCCTGTTTACCCAGGTTCTGTGTCTTTAAATAAGGATCCTCACTTGCCAGCATAACCCCCACATTCGAATGCTATCCACATATTTCGCAATTTGAATCGTTACAAGTTTTTACCTTACTTTGAAAAAGGTCTAAGGACTGGTGTCCACCCCTCCCCTGCTACCATTTGTTCTGTCCTTTTTGTAGCTCTGGGACATGGTTCTCGCAGTTGCCAGCAACTATGTCACTGTTTTCACTTTTGTATTCACCATTTGACCTGCCTTTCTTCCACATGCTTTTTCTCTCCATTCTCTTTCCTCCTATAAAGACACCATGCTACACGCTAGTGGAGGAACAACATGAGCAAAAGAAAAAAAGGGGGTAAAATCAATCACAGGAGAGCTGGTAAGAACCCAAAAAGTCCTACTTCATGTACAGATATCTTAGTTCAATCAGTGATCCAGTACAGATCACTGACAGTCATGTAAACTGGTCATTAAGTCATGCCACAAAATGTATCTTCTGATATAAATCATTTCCCACCCCACCCACTAAAAAAAGCAGCGATGTGATGACTTCCTAGGATAGTATCTACCTGACAGCTCTCTTCTTTCCCCCACTCTGCCAGGCTGCTAATCTAAGAACATAACACCATGCCAGAAAAACAGGAAAGACAAGAAGATGTATTTGAAAAGTAAAAATTTCTAAAATGTTAGGTGGAAAAGGCATTTGGTCCTGGTTGTCTTCATGAGGAAGAATTTGAGTAAGCCATTGATAAATGTAACAAAAGGTATTTCATATGAAGGAAAAAAGTAGAGAATTCCTTAGACTAAATTAAAAAAGAAACAGTCTGCCTGTTAACAGAACCAATTCATGCCTCACAAACCCCCTATTTTTGTTGAATGGATTTATATGCATACACAGTGGTGTTTCCTTTGCACTTTTAATACCACACTGTTTAAAGTACATTGAATAAACATCTCCCCTTGGAAATAAACCAAACCACATCTAATGTATTAAGTTAATTTATGACTTTAAATATGAGTAGCTACAACTGACAAAATTCTGTGGAAATATGATGTTAGGTCTGATAGCTAACCTGTAAGAAGGTTTTTTAATCCCAAACTTTGAAAAAATATGCTTTCACTGCAGAAACGCAATGCTTTATGTAAATGATTCCTAATACTAAAATGCATTTTCCACTAAAGTACGTAATGCTTGCTTTCTTAAAAGAAGATATATATTTATGTAAAAAAGTTATTTCACTAATTACTCTGATCAGCTTAATGCTAACCACAAAAGAATTAAGAGACTAGAAAGCTATAGGAGCTGAGCCAAAGACAAATTAGAAACCACACCTGACAACCAGAATCTGCCTCTGATCCCTGAGAAAGGTTTTTCAAGTGCAGCACAGACATATTGCTCAGTGCTGACTGCAGCAGATGTCAGCAGCTACTCCTTTTTTTGATACTGTCACCATGAGCAAAACCTATTCCTTGTTGCTGATATCTGCCTCTGTCAGTCTCAGTGAAGAAGCTTGTGAGAATGTGCAAGAACAAGCAGGGTGATGTTACACAGATTTTGTACTTTCCTC